AACAATGTTATTGAAATTGCTTCCTCTGAGGTCATTCAAGATGTCATTGGTTGGGTTTCTGTTACCCTGCATCAATGCAAAACACTGATACTACAGTCAGCAGCATTAAAGCTTGATGGAAATGCCCCTTTTTTTACTCAATAGAACATTAGAGAAGATATTAATCTGAAACTGTTTTTTGGTGATTTAGGGCCCTGTCATACACCCAGCGCAGTGTGGCGCAAGGCGCGGTGCAATAGTCTTTTGGTAGTTTCAGCTTGGCGCAAGAGTCGTTTTGAGGTGTTGCGCTACGCTTTTTAAATAGCAAATGCATTAGCGCTCTTTTGTGCGCCCATAGGCGTTCTGGTCTAAAAAGGGAAGGCGTTCTGAGACGGACCGCTGGCGCGTCGCTATTTTGAGAAACTATAATAGATTTTTCATTAGACCAAAACTAACCCGGTCTAAACTCCTGCGCAGAGTTGCGCCTCGCTTATGCACTGCTTAATACGCACAAGAGAGCAATAGGCAAATATCTTTACTTATGAAAAAAATTAATAGTAAGGATATATATAGAATATAATAAGAATATATATATAGGATATAAATATAAAGGATTAAAATATTACAAAACATATTTTCTAGTGTATATATTATATGTATATATTGTTGTGAGAGAGACACAGATGTTAGCGCAAGAAATCATTGGTTAAATGAAGCTCGTCCTCCTGTTTGGTGGTGGCTTATATCTGTGCCTCTTGATGAGCACTAGCTGTGACCGATCCGCTGTGATGAGGTGACAGCTCGGTTGAATCCGGTACCAAGGCGACGTGGCATCAGTATACTCACCACAATATATAATAATTATATATATTTTTTTTTTACAAAAGACTAAAGACAATAATATAAAGTCAGAATGTGCTGGATGTTAAATTTAGCATGTGTGTGTATTTGATGTGCTGCCAGTCCCTCTTCAGGAGTCGTTTATGGAAAGTTGTTTCAGCTGAAGTTTCACAAGCAAAGTATTAAAATTCCACTGATTTGCTGAAATAAACCCTGAATTTAGGGATAATCCTGCAGTGCAAAGCTCTTTGATAAGGATGTAAACTCTCCTTCTCTGTGCAGTGGGTTGGATAAAAACAATATTTCTTTGTACTTATTCTTTTTGGAAGAAGAAGAAATAAGAACAAAGCATCAGTGCTTGAACTGACTTGCGTTGACTCTGAATATTTAATACACACTGGACTCAATGTGAGGGTTATGTGCATACTGAATTTTTCAGACACCAATATGAGAAAAAAAAACACAAACATTTCTGACTTCTCCATACAAAGACCTTTCAGAGGGTGGGGTTAAGAATATTGTGGCCAATAACATCAAACTTTGGCCACTCCAAACACGAAGACTTGGATTGAAGATTACCAAAACAACTTTTTTTTCAGTGAAAAATTCATTTGTTCATTCATTTTCTTTTCATCTTTTCAGCTTAGTCCCTTTATTAATCTGGGTTCTTCACAGCGGAATGAACTGCCAACTTATCCAGCGTATATTTTACGCAGCGGATGCCCTTCCAGCTGCAAATCATCTCTGGGAAACATTCATTCATTATTTTCCTTCAGCCTAATCCCTGATTATCAGGGGTCACCACAACAGAATGAACCTCCAATCATTCCAACGTATGTTTTACGCAGCAGATGCCCTTCCTTCCGCAACCCAGTTCTGGAAAACACCCATACACTCTCACATTCACACACACTCATACACTACAGACAATTTTGTTAACCCAATTCACTTATAGCGCATGTCTGTATACTGTGGGGCAAACCGTAGCACCAGGAGGAAATGTCAACTGGCCGAGCCGGGACTCGAACCAGCGACCTTCTTGCTGTGCGGTGACAGTGCCGCTGAGTACCACTGAGACACCATGCACATGTGGAATTAACTTGCACTGATTAATTGTTCACTTAATAAATAACAAGGTGCACTAGCATAGTAAACATTGTACATTTTGATTTCAAACCGACTTTGTTAAATGTTAAAACCCCCCAGCAGACACAATGTCATAAGACATTAATGTTTGGTAAGATTTAGGTCACCAGCATCTAAGGACAATGTTATTTTGACGTCCAATAATGACGTTGTATGACGGTGATATTTGGTTGATTTTAAATTGTTTTGGAAAGTGACCAAAATCCAACGTCGCGCCAACATCTTAAACCAACATCATATTGACGTTAAATATTGACTTTTATTCTTCAGGTTTGGCAACCAAAATCTGATAGACATCACCGTTCACACAACGTCAAGCTGTAACATCATTAGACATTGATATTTGCAACAAATGCAATGACTGTTCGATGTTGGACATTGACGTTGGGTTCTGACATCAACCTGATTTTCATTGCCAAACAAGATGCAATGTCTCACGACGCTGGGGTACAACATTAATCTGATGTCATGTTGATGTCCTGTGCCTGCTGGGACATCACAGAAGTATGACATGAATATCAGTATGATAAACAGCACGCGTGGCTGTGCATTTATACTTCTGCGCGCTGTCTCTGTTGGTCTGCATTATCACTTCCGAAACGCTAGTTGGCAGTGAGGTGTAAATGTTCCTCTGTGTCGAGTTTCTTCGCTGCTTTTTTGCTTTTACTGAACACTTCCGGGATGTACAAGTAGCTCAAACTCGCTCATTTTGAGGCAGGAACCGGCGGACTTGCAGCAACTTTAACTATGAGATAAGCACAAAACATAAACTTTCCATCCTGAGCTCCTTCACGGTACTCCACAATCGCTACATTGGGTTCGCGCCATTCGCGCGGCTCTCGATCCCGCCCCGACTCGTCAGCGATACCAAGCCGACCAAACACAGAGCTTGCGCTACGCGTTGTTGTGACGTGTAGTTACATTTTTTGAGAGGTGCACGTCAGTGACGGCCACGGCGAAGGGCTATGCGTCAGCGCCGTAGCATACGCCGATGTTTGACGCAGAAGTATAAATCAGCCTTTAATAGGGCGGCACGGCGACCCAGTGGTTAGCAATGTTGCCTCACAGCAAGAACGTCCAAGTCTCTAACAGGCCAGTTGAGGTTTCTGTGGGTCATTAAAGATTTTATCAAAGCCGAAAACCAGATCAACATATTCAAGTGAATTGTGAAATATTACAATGAATTTGAGACCACCTTACCAATCACACAGAGACATTTAAAATGATACCAAACATGAATATAGAGCTACAAGATACACCATATCAAAAACTTGGACAGTTTATCTGAAATGTGAGTGATCTGATCTGATGGATACGGTAAAGTAAGGGTCAGGAAGGGGGGCTCAGGAAGAAAGGAGAGGAGTGAGCTTTCCCACATTCCCACATAGTGAGGTAACGAGCAAACGGTCTCTGTGTTTCCAGCCCATACTTGTATTGTCAACAACATTAAAGTGTCTGTGGTATCTCAAATCTTACATTTGTGAAGATATGATTTAGAATGAACCCTCTCACATTTTTGAGTTTTTAAGTCTTCATAGTTGGGTAAACTTGGGAGAGTACAACAAAACATTTTTTTACAATCCTATTTGCTGAAATAATAAAAGAAAAACGTAAGGATGAAGTTATCAAGACTTTCAGAAAAGGGAGGAAAATTGTGTGAGACGCCAGCCAGACAAGAGAACCATGTCAGATTTATAGTCCCACCCCCATAGACTTTGCATTACAAACACCTTGCATAAGAGGTAATTTGTTTATTTTATTTTGCAATTTGATGCAAAGGTGATATAATACATGCATAAATGCATATAAATTGTTCATACATTTAAAAAATATCTGAATACTTAAAAAAAGGACTTAAGATGCTGATGACAATTAAACTATAGACTGTAAAAGATATGTGTGTAGTGTCCGTGACGTCACCCATAGGTTTCTGAAAAACGCAAAAGAATCTATAAGTAGGCGTAGCCAACCATTACCATTTTGTTTGCGCCTCATTGCACCAACCGGGGGATACCAAACAAGGGCAAAGAGGCGGAGCTGCAGACGCATGCTAGCATTCTGCTAGCATTAATACTTCCTTAACTGAGACTCGTTTGTGTTCTGCTTCTGACCACATGTACTTGGTTGTATACTATGTCTTTAATGTGTTTAGACTGTTAAAAACACTTTTGTAATAGATTGAATCACTAAAGATTGTTCTTATGACATTGCAAATGCAAATTTCTTTTAAACACTTCAGATATAGTCTGTGTTAGTAAATGCAGGACTATTGGTGAAATCCAGGCATAACGCTTAAAATTATTGATCTACAGCTAATCAATTTGTCAGATTCTGAAGTGCATTGCAGGTCTAAAGAACATTATAAATGATCTTAAATAAAACAAATACATGTATAGAGATGGTATATGAGTTTATAATTTCACTCGGCTGGGAAATGGAAGCCATGTGAATGGTTTGTGAGTACAATTATGTGCACACAGCATGCCATGCCATATCATAATTGTAAGAAATAAATCCAAAAGGCATTTGACAGTGTAAAGTCACATAAAACAACACAAAAATATGATGTATATGTCGAGTTCAGTGTCTAATCAGCCGGAATCAGCTGAGGTGAAGTGACAGCGACCAGTGAAACCTTGCTGTCACTCAAGTGGCCACGCCCTTAATTATGCACACTTAGTATAACCTAATATAAAGGAAACAGATGAGTTAATAAAAAATCCTCCCTCACAGTTGTCATGAAGGATAATATTAGCTATATGAACCAAAATCGTCCTTTGTACCAGGTTGTAAACACCCTTTTTTTTTTTGCTGTAAAGTTGGCCATTCTAACAGTGGGCTCAATTGAAATTTGCTCTATATGGAGCCAGGCCTAGCAGAATTTTGATGAATTGCAGTTTCAGTTACTTCCATCTTTGCTGCACGAGGGAGAGCAGGAGGCTGGGTCTTGAATTAAACGCGTCATAACAGTCTTGGTAAAAGGATCCATGATTATGCTTTGACTTATTGAGAATGTGTGTGTTTTGTTTCTCCAGCCCCTTATTCAGAACCGAGGTTAAGCATCCATCTCAAATCCTCCAACGTGACTGTCCAGTACGAGACAGAGGGCTTCCCGAAGCCAGAGGTCTTGTGGCTGAATTCAGGAGGGCAGAATCTCACCAACCATCAGGAGGTTTCGAATACATCAGATGAAGGCCTGTACTACCTTAAAAGCAGCTACGTGACCGAGAATCCAGCAATAAACATCACATTTATGCTAAAAAACACTGTTGCGCATCAGGAGCTACAGAGGCATCTTATCCTCAACTTTGGTAAGCGTGATCATTTATTGGCATGTTTTACTGTGCACATTTCCAGGATACTTGTTTACTGTTCTAAAAATGTTCAGAGAAGAATTTTTACTCTTTTCTAAAGAAGTTTAATGCTCACCAATGCATTTACTGAAAGGGGTAGTAGGTGATCTGCCTTTAAAACACAGTCCCTCTCCTGTTTTCCAAAGCCACGCCTCCTGAAATCACGAACGTGCACGTTAAAGCTGACAGTAGACAACCCACTAGATCATGTTAGGCAGACTCGGGTACAATTTGTGGGTGTTCACACTAGCTAAACGTACCGAACTCATCAAACGAACCCGGGTGCTGACCAAAAGTGCTAGTGTGAAAACACCCTTACATTCAGACTGATTTTTAAAGCAATATTTTTATCATTATCTTATACTCTGCAGTTATCATGCTAGATATGAAAGGCCTTCACTCTGCAGACTCACTGTCTGTCTTTGTGTGTTTGTGTGTGTTTTATCTATTTTACTGTAGAGTTACATTCATTCATTCTGTGGTTTTTCGTGATGTCTGTGGCAGACCAACATATTCATCTCTATTTTCATATTGTTGGTATTTCCTATTCATTTTTCAGATATTTCTGACCATGAATGTTCTTAACATGAGCATTTTATTACCATTTAGGTTTTTTTGGTATCAAGAAAAGTCACAGAGGCTGTTTCCAAAAAAACAACAACAGTATTCTGTCTGAATATATTACAAAATGGCATTTATATACAAAGAGGAATTTTTCAGAAGTTAAGGCGCATACATATCAAGCATGATAACTATAAATATAAAGATAATCATTAATATATTTGCATCTACACTGAAGAATTATACAAAATTAGTTTTTTAGTTTATGATTTTCATTGGGCATGACTTCCTTGTTGATGTCCTCAGTGTGCTACTTGCTCATCTGACCATTCATTCAGTCATTTTCTTTCAGCTTGGTTTCTTATTTATCAGGCGTTGCCACAGCCGAATGAACCACCAACTATTCCATCATATGTTTTACATAGCGGATGTCCTTCCAACTGCAACCCAGTATTGGAAAACACCCATACTCTCTTGCATTCACAAACTACGGCCAATTTTACTTAATCTAATTCACCTATAGAGCATGTCTTTGGACTGTGGGGGAAACCGGAGCAAACGGGGAGAACATGCAAACTCTATGCAGAAATGCCAATTGATCCAGCCAGGGGTAGAACCAGCTACCTACTTGCTGTAAGGTGACAGTGCTAACCACTGAGCTGACCACTTCATATCAAAAGTGAACTGGACCACTTTGCATGAACTGTACCCCAGACCACCTCTTTCAGATGGACTTGGGTACAGTTTGTGGGTGTTCACACTAGCTCAATGTACCGAACTTGTCAAACGAACCCGGGTGCTGACCAAAAGTGCTATTGTGAAAACACCCTTACATTCAGAACATTTTTTATTATTTTTTTTACCTTTTATTGTGATGGGATAGTGGAGGACAGACAGGAAATTATTGGGAGCAGTTAGAGGGGAAGGATCAGCATTAGACCTCAAGCCAGGAATTGAACTTGGGTCGTTGTGAGCACCTTCGTGCTATATGTCGGCACATTTAGGCCCAATCCCAATTCTATTTTTGTACCCCTATCCCTTCCTTTTCCCCCTGGCCCTTGAAACAGAATGTGAAGGGGAAAGGGCTTCAAAATGTACCCCTAAGAAATGGGACAGCACTACAACACCTTCACACCTCATCATATGTCATCGCGATCTCTTGCTTCATATGAGTTCAGGCAATCATGACTGCTGTAGTTATTCCAGTTGTGCTATTTTTTGGTTTTTATTTTCAGGAAATCACTGAACTCTTATATCATGTTATCATAACGATCTAATGTGGCAATAAGCTCATAACTGTACTGTGCATTTAACACAGTGGCCATACTCATCTATTTAAACACACCAAAAACAACATTAACATTAAAGCAGACACTGTAAAAAGCTCATTCCCAGCCACTAGACTTTTCTGACAGGGTATTCGAGTGTCATCGAGTGTCAGAATGACGGCTGTACAGGAGTTATTATTAGCGATTATAGATAGCCAAATTTAGCATTTTTTTATTTTAGAGGGTTTTTTTTTTTTAAACGTGACGGTAAAACATGAACGCGGTTATGATTAAAATAAAACGTGTTTGTTTGTTGTAAAAATTTGTAATAATGACAAAAAATGCTAATTTGTGCATCTCTTGACCTCCAGGTGTTTCTATCCTCCTGTTGTGGCTTGTGTATTCTGGGAAATTCATTCATTCATTTTCATGTCGGCTTATTCCCTTTATTAATCTGGGGTCGCCACAGCGGAATGAACCACCAACTTATCCAGCAAGTTTTTACGCAGCGGATGCCCTTACAGCCGCAACCCATCTCCGGGAAATATTCTGAGAAATTTTCTAACCCAATTGGTTTCGAGTGTGGTCCTGAAAATTCTCTCTTTCAAGGGTTATCTAGCCCTTCCCCTTAGCCCTACGCCTTCAAGATAAAGAGAATTGGGACACCCCTACCCCTTCATGTGCATGCACAAAATGAGGGATAGGGGTAAGGGGAAGGGCTAAAGGGCGAATTATACTCGCGCCGCATCGCGCACCTCCGCCGACTGCGCGAAACGGACAAAGCTTTTACACTCGCCGCGTTCACCGTTGTGATATTCTTTAAAACGACAGGGGCCGGTCAAAAGAAACCCACCGTAAAATCAGACGGATAAACAGAGAAGTAGGAACTTTCCAGAAGTACGTCATATCATTAATATCATTCAATACTTTTAAACTAATTATTTTGTATTGTTTTTAATATATTACTATAATGATTATAAGCATTTTTATAACCATTCAAAAAATTTTATTAAACTTTGATGTATCACCTGCTTTTGTTCATATCTCGGACAGTTTTACCATTTAAAGTTTATTACAATATCAATCACAAGAAAACATGAGTAACTCTACAAATATATTTTTATTATAGCAAGAATAAAAGCAAAAAAAGTACACTTACTAAAAAATACTGATGTTTTTTTTTTTTTTTTTTTAGATTTGGCCCGATCCACAAATAAATACATCAGTGTAAAACCTATACTGATGAAAAAACATATTTCAGTAATTGTGTACCCGGGTCTCCACTTTTGTCATGGCCTCTTTTGGCATAAACAAGCATCCCTCAGGTTTTTCCAAACTTTTTAACATAAACTTTCCTCCTTTCTCACTGCTGTTGCTATTTTTAGCAAATAATTATTGGTCATCACTTGTTTTTGTTCATATCTCGAACAGTATATCTATTACAATTTATTAAAATATTAATGACAACAGAACATGAGTTGCTCTACAAATAAATGTTTTATTATCACAAAAATAAAAGCACAAAAGCATACTCACTAAAAAATACTGATATTTTTAGATTGCTCCACAATTCACACATTACTGTCTGGCTAGTTTCTGTCCTCTTCTTATGCTAAATAGGCAGTGATGGTCCAACATTCCTGACCATTATCAACAATAAAGCCCAGAGAAACAGACCATCAGTATATTGTGTTCCTTTCCAGTTATCAAAAATAATTTTGTGATTTCATTATAGTTTTGTAACTATTAAATTGTTTTAAATACAAAATTAAACAAAATACATCAGTGCAAAACCTATGACTGGTGGAAAAACATATTCTGTAATTGTGTACATTTTGCCATGGCATCTTTTGGTTTTAATAAACTTATTCTTCAGGTTTTTCCAAACCTTTAAACAAAAACTTTCTCCTTTCCCACGGCTGTTGCAATTTCTGGCCAAGAATTATTGATTCTCCGGTTATCTCTCTGATCACGGGTCATAAGATGTGTGTTCAGTCATACTGTTTCAGATAAAATCTCTTCAAAGTGGTTCATGTTCAACTCAAATCAGTTGCGGCGCCGCGCGCACTCTTCGCTTGAGTCTCAAAAAATGCCCTGCGCACCGCCAGCCGAAATCCTGCCGCGCGCTCCCAAATCGAACCTCCGCAAACTCCGCGATGACGTCACATTCGCCGCGCACACTCAAGCGAACAAGCGGACGAGTAGAGTATAAACCAGGCTTAAGGGGTATAATTGGAATTGGGCCTTAACCACTAGGCTATTGGCACAAACCAGACTGATTTTTAAAGCAATGTTTTTATCATTATCTTATACTCTACAGTTATCATGCTAGATATGAAAGGCCTTCACTCTGCAGACTCACTGTCTGTCTTTGTGTGTTTGTGTTTTATTTATTTTACTGTAGAGTTACATTCTTTCACTACTGTGGTTTTTCATGATGTCTGTGGCAGACCAACATGTTGATCTCTATTTTCATATTGTTGGTATTTTCCTATCATTTCCCATGGCAAATATTTCTGACCATGAATGTTATAGTCATGACCATAACCATTTAGTTTTTGGTATCAAGAAAAGTCACAGAGGCAGTTTCCAAAAGCACGTATTTTTCAGGTCTGCACGTCTCTTCTAATGAGATGATGATTTAAATTGAGTGTGTTTGACATGAGCAATGTTGAAGCACTCTATACTATTGAACTAAAGCAGGGGTGGCCAAACTTTTTCTTTTAAAGGGCCAAAAACCAGAGCTGACTAAGAGTTGTGGGTCTAATATATACTAAACCGTATTACAATAAATTGGTTGCTTTAAATCATATTAATTAATGCGGTATCATTATTAACATTTTATAACTTATTACTGTAAATACATAAACATTTATAACACAATAGAGTTCAATGCTGAATGCAATCAAGCTGCTCCTGCTTTTAACTTGATATGCTGGCAGATGTCAGATGTACATCAAGTGACAGTATTTACATTTTAAAAGTCTGATTCATTTACAACATTTAACTGAATCATTTAATTTCAGTTGACTCTTTTGTAGCTCAGAATCAAACTAAGACACAAAAGATTCTAAATGATGAATTATGTCAAAGGGATTCGCCCCAGCCACCTCCCCATCATTTCAATTC